TTCCCTTGGCCACCTTCGGCTCTATTGAGACCGATATGAAAATTTATGCTTACATGTGAGCTGAGTTAGCCTTGCCTCAGCATACAGTCCCCTAGAGTTTGCACACAGGATATGGGAACATGGGAGGCGATAATCATGGGTTTGTTGGCACCTCCAAACTCCAGGGGAAAGATTAGTCACGTAGTAGGCAATGTCTTCAAGGCAGTCGATTGCCTCCATGCCCATAAATAAGTGGCCAATACTTTTAACCCTTCGATAATTCTTGCTGATTGTGTCTATGTAGATGACACCAGACTTTCAAACTGTCTTTGAAATGACTTGTGGACTTATGGAGAAGAGTAAGAATGCTGTTACGAGGCAGTTGCAGAACTGCTGCAGTGCAAACATTGAATCGTAGGATCGGAGGCCTCAGGACTTCGTTACGTGCCATGAACCTTCCGCGAAGTCATCAGTAGGGGTCATTTTGCCGTAAGTTAGGCTATAAGTGCTAACAAGCTCTTTTCATCTTGTCACTTGTGTAGTTGCCCGAAGTCATCACTTTTCTGTAGTAGGTACTTTTCCACACTCGCTTCAAATTTATCTAGCGTCCATTCGGAGGTGTCACGGATATACCCGTAATAACACTAGGACCCACATATCTTTTATATTCTTACATTGTATGTAACTTGCCTATGTCTAAAATGAGCTTGAACTAGTCTTCTACGTGCAAAACGTAGGTCAGGTTTCTGGAACTAAGAAATGATGAGAAATTAGAGGCTGGGGCTTTCCAACTGAAGTCTAGAAGCACATGAAATGAACAGAGGATAATTCAGTAGTGTGGAAACACTGGCTATATAGAAGAAACTTCCGTCTGACAACTGTCTATGATAAACTTTTCTGTTGCTTCAGTACATCCCATAATAAATCGTAACGCTGTCATGACACCCGTGATATCTGACAGAGCTTTTCCTCTGCAGGATGCGTACATGTTATAAGTATCTGTGACATCTAACTAGAAAGTAGTATATCTTTAAACACTTCATTAATATCACTTAATTGCCTAAAACTTCTTTTCGTACGTAGATTCATCGCACACAGCCCCCGATAAACTCTTATAAAATTTAATTTGGAGGTGTAGGCTGAATCAAACTTCATCAATCTGACCATTTTGAGCTCTTAGTACGGATTTCTATTGCTCCCCATCCATACTTTTCACGTTCACAGAAAACAGAGGTCGTGCTATGTGTATTTCCCTCAAACATTTCTTTCTTTTAGCTATATCTTTGGAACTTTAGGGAAATCGCATTTCTTAGTTCAGCAACTGAAATCATGTATCCAACCAAACCATTCACTATAACCTCCGTTAGGTTACATTTACTATTGTCGACCTTTTAAGTTTTCAGTAAACGGATGATTTTGTGCTTCCTTATGTTACCCACTACTAGACACTCATTAGCAGAATTCATACACACAACCCCGTGAACTTAGAAATGAGAAAACAAGGACTAACTAAACTAATATAAATTTACGTTTTCTCAGATTCGGCTCCTTCCGACCGTCTTCTTCGTTTCAGACCAATAGTACACGCGTAACTTACATGTGCGTGCCTGAGAATATTGTCAATGTGACTGCTTGTCGCAACCTAATGAGCATGGCTAACCTTGTGGAAGGCCTCCTCAAATTCGTCACAGGTGTTAAAACATTTACCGTGAAAAAAACCGGTTGAATTTATTCACCACCTCGTCACGTATCACTAACAATACCATTTTCATGACTGTTTTATCAGATAAATTCCATACTGGCGCAAGATCTAGGCAAACTTGAATCAACAAATCGGGCAATGGATAAAGGCACACACGGGGTGTCGTTATGTGTTATCGCGATGTTGTGTTCGGGTTGTTCTACGTTGTTTTCCGGTGTTTTTTCAACTGAAATACATTATAAATACCATATTTTAACGAAAAAATTTAGAAAAATGGTGGAAAGTAGACACTTTCAGCAGTTTGAGTGAACATGTATCTGTCTTTGAATTTCGTTATTTCTTTCCATGTGGAATGTTAAAACTCTGTGTAAATTGTTGATTACGTTAAGGAAAACGAAATCAATTAGGAAATTGATGCATATTTTGCGAAATTCTGAAAGGGTGTTTTGAATCTCTGAGATATGAAAACTTGGTAACACTCAGAAGAGTCTACAGCTATAAAGGAGTGTTAGTTGATTTATTCGCAAGATAACAGTTAATAAACAAATTTTTTAAAATAGTTACTTTGGTTTGGAGTATTTTCGTGTTGCTAATTATTTGTTAAAGGATGTCATACTATTGTTGATTTGCAGGTTACAATTGTAATTTACGGAGTGATTCACTTTATTTGGAGGCTTTAATGAAGTGCAATTGAAGAATTTGCGCGTTATCGTTGGAATCTTTGTGATATGATAAAATTATTTATCAAAATAAATATCTTTTTAATGTTTTAACGGTGTTCTTTAAAGAATTCACTACTACTTCCCTTTTGCTTGTCGAAGGAATAGTGATGTAGCCGGTTTTGGAATGCGTAGTGATTTAATCTAAAAGAGTGATAATTTACGCAACATAAGAATACTAGGATTTTCTTCAATAGGATATACCTATAACGCGTTATTTTCGATGTACGTAGCCGCCCTACATTTGTTATTATGTATACGTAGTAATCGCAAAACAAACCTAATCTCAACGTACATTTTTTCGCAAGCCCTGATGAAAGATAATCTTTTACGCAGCCGTGTTGAGTGTAACTGAAACATTTCATGGGAGGCTTGATGACGCACTGAGGAAATAATAACGGTTTACGATTATCCCGCATTTCACACAAGTATTACTACGTTGCCTATCAACTTCGTTAACTATACAATGTCCTCGGAATGATAATTAAGAGAGATACATGTAGTCAACATAAATGCATATATTTACAAAATAAAAACAGTTAAACAGTACATATTCATATTAAAAAGGGTGGAAAAAAATCACAGTTGTAGATTCTTTATGGGGGTGACTCTAAAGAATAGCGGCCCAAACCGAAACGACCTTTTAACGCAAAAATGACCTTGACATGGACAACTTCGGCCAATGAGAAGGCTCAAAAAGAAAGGCGCATAATTGTAAAAAACGGTTTATATAGAAGTAATCCAATCATAATAAACAGTTACAAAGGATGGCGTTCGCGTATATGTTGCAAAAACAACCTCCCAGTTTCTCATGGGAGTCTTCGTAGTCATATGAAACCAGTTTCTGTACATAAATTCATCCAGGTAACTGTAAATCGTGGGATTTCTCGATCCATTAACCGCCCTTATACGTCTTTTTAAATGACTGCAAAAACTTTCAATGGAACTGGTGTGGGTTCCATCCAAAGTATTCCGGAAACCGTCCGTATGATTAAAAACATGATGAATGTACCCATGATTCGATAATTGACGGTATCCGCTCCATTCATCTGTATGAATAGTCGACCCCGGCAACACCAAACGCTTATTCATAGGCACTAATACTGCTGCACTGCGATTGGGAATCGCTTCTATTTATACTATGCGCAGTGTCGTGTCGTAGATACCTAATATCCACTGCTGGTTTGCTTGTAATCTCCCGCGGTTGTATTTCATTTTTATAAGTACAGTCTCACCAATATGGAGTGTGCTGCCGACTCCTCCGAGAACTTGAGTCAGGGTGTTCATTTTCCAGGAGGAAACATCTCTGCAGTAGTTGTACCATTGCACTGCTGACACCTCTGAATTTTCTGTTTCATAAGCTGTAGCTGTAACTGGTCTTTTCAGGACCCAGAAGTTACAGTTCATTAAAATTTTCGTCAAAGGTATTTTAGACCTTAAGAGAAAAGTTCCTAAGGGATTTGTAAACTAAAAAACAACGACAAACCTTCTCGAACCTATTTCCTCCTTCGGCACTCAATACATCTGTATACAAAGCCATCAATGGCCTTTGTGTATTTTTGTATATCCATAACTCCTCCACATTGGCAAATTTTCGACAAAGCTATCAGTCCGTTATCCAAACAGTAATCGAAAACATCCATGATTACTTCCGCAAATGATACAGTCAGCTGATTTCTTGCTCAAGGTCAATTTTTTGTTCGAAGGTCGTTTCGGTTTGGGCCGCTATTCTTTAGAGTCACCTTTATGGGTACATGATTGTCAAATTAAAGTCCACTAGTCGTCTTATCCACAATATGTGGATCAGTTTCCCTTTAGATGATTGTGACACTGGACCAGTCTTTACAGCTTTCAGCACCACCTGATCTTTCAGAAGAAACTGGTTATGACCTTTCCATGCAAAGATTGAGATTGTATTCCTTTGACCACCTCCGGCCACACTGAGAAATATCTAAGGATATGTACATATCAGATGAATTAATCTTACCTCAGGTGAACAATCCCTAATCTTAGCAACAATGAATATGTGAACAAGGGAGGGAACAATAGTAGAATCGGTATGAACAGTCCATATATCCCATAATAAACTTAAAGAATCCTAGAACTTCCGATTTATCTTTCACAGTTTGTTTTCTGCAAAGTGCAAATGTTACACAAATGCCTCTCCTCTCTGTCCGTTACAATCAACTTAAAAAGACTAAATCTTCAAACTTTATACTTCTTTGATTAAGTTACCCCATAATATTCTCTTTTTTAGTGGGTCCACATGCCTATCACATCTGTAGAATCAATACATGCGTTAACTTGTGTCCTTAAGCTGAAAAAAAGTAATGTTTATGCGACTTTTATTACCATCATTTCAAAGCCCGCCTTAGTAACGTGAGCTACGTATTAGCCGCAGCGTTTACGCAAAGTAAAATCTACCAATCACAGTATGCATATGTGACCTTGAGGTGCTCAGCCTCTCCATAAGGTCGTGTGTGCCTTTATCCATTGCCAACAAAACGCAGTGTGCGAGAGCGACCTTGAGGTGCTCAGCCTCTACACAAAGCAGTCACTACGTCTATTTGTCCTGTGCCTTGCGTATAGCGGCTGCTCAAATGCGGCTGTTTGTACTTCCTAATGGTAGCCAACTGTCGTTCTACGTCAGGGCTTGTGATTCTGTACCAAGTTTAAAACTAGCGATCGTGGCTCATGGTGGTACGGTGTCTGACAAAGAACAGGCAAACAGCATTTATTTAGCTACTCCGGGGATAACTACTGATTCTGAGAAATATATACATTACAAGTACATATGGGACTGTATTCAGAGCAAATCTCGCTTACCGATGGAAAATTATCACGTAAGCATTTGTCCACGTCAGGTTTTATCTTGGTGATATCTAGATATCACCTAAAAATGTCTTTAAGTGATGTGATGCCCTTTATTTATGTATAACAGGTTATTATACCTCTTGTATGAGACTCACAGACGCCCACTTTTTTGAAGTTAGTAAGAACTGTAAATGCCTTACTCTGTGTACCGTTACACAACATGAGGCGTTATTGTTATTTGCTCCACTAAGATTTCCCTTTTTTTCCATTGGCGCATTAGTCGCTATAAGGAAGGTTTTTCATTCGTCAAAGTTTCTGTAGAAGATATAAATTATTTGGTTTCCGGAATAAATACATGAGGTTATCGAAAGGGTGGAAATTATAGATTAGGATTCGTAGATATTATTTGTACTTAACTGATTCCATCAGTTGGTAAAAGTATTGTTATTCCACAAGTTAGTAAGATGTTGCAGATTTTAATTAAGCTAAGTGACGTCGCCGTCTAGGCAATTCATATGGAATCTCGCTTAAAGCTAAACTTCCATTGTAAAATTTACTTTGGTAAAGTCTCACGTTTATGCAGTAAATATTTATATATATATATATATATATATATATATATATATATATATATAAATCTTACCCACAATCGAATTATACTCTGTTCTTATATTGAAAGCTAGACTTCATGTTATAAAATTTGTAATCTTCAGAATAACTCATCACAAACAGTTTCAACTTAAGTAGGTGTACTTTACAAACACTCTCTGAACGGAAAGTAATTTAGTACTTGATGTGTATGTAGATTTTACTGCCAGACGGAGTGTTTGATATTTTTTTACTCATATTTAACAGGTCAAGCTGGGGACTCAGGTTTCTGAAATTTTATCCGTCGATATCGACGATCCCTGTTGGATCGATACAGAATTTTCTAATCCGTCTGTGCGTTCACGTAAACCCTTTACAAAGAAAGAGAGTCTGACTTTGTTGAAGTACATCCAAGACAATAATCTTTTACCGTAAGTGTGACAGTAAAATATGGTTGTTAATTCATTCATTTTTGTATTTTCATATGTCCATTAGGATTACGAAGCATGAGTATTATTATACTGTGTCTATAAGGACTCCGGCAATAATCTGCATTTTATTATTGAGTTTTCAGTAAGCCAATGTAGCTTGTGAAACCTTGACAATGTGATTTCGAAATTCTAGTTAGTTCGTTACGCATGACCATCGAGTATTTTGAGTTACAGAACACAATCTTTGATCCCTGCCGAGGTATTTACACAAATTCGAAAATCGATTAGTTATGTGGTCTCAGTCACTATGCTAATTTTCTAATGAGAGACCGTTATAACTCTGTGCGTAGAGTTAGGTTGGTATGAATAAAGGTAATAAGTTGTGTCCTAAACGGTATCCAGTATAAGCGATAGTTTTAATGGATTTATCGCAGCCTTAATGATATCGGTTCTAAGATGATGTTAAATATAATAAAGGTGGGGTATTCACCTTTTTGTGAATATAGGGACCCTTATAAGTCATGGAGATTAACGCTTAAATATGTTGAGATATCCTACTGAGATACTGCAAACTATCTAGCGATCGTTGAAAGCTAACCTGACATCTATTTCTTAGTTCAGAAGTATGTGAAATATTTGCAAAATGTGTTGTTATTGTTTTCTGGCTTGAATACGGTGATATTTTGTCTATCCACATGCCCCCAATTAGATTGTTAGATGTCACAAAACACATAAATAGTTAGAAACTGTAGTTGTACATTTCTTTTGCTTACCATATCCTTTCTTAACAAGCCGAACATAGTGGATGTCTGAATACTCATTTTCTATTAATTTATATACTGTCATTGTAAAATTTTGATAAACAAATCAACTTATTTACAAGATAATTCTCTTGTTGTAGACATCAAAAGATTTTAGAGTATTTTGTTGGACATTTCGCCCTATGGGCTTGATAATTGACTTTCATATAAGATTTGTTGTACTCCAACTTCAGTCCTTTTAAACATAGACAACATGGTAGTACTTCAGTTTTTCACATGTCAATTGATGTCTATAGCTTTTTGTAGAAACCTGTACTGGATTGTTCAAATTCACTATGTGCTGTTCAGTGTAATTACTAGAACCAATGCGTGTTGAAGCTATAAAGTTTAAAATGTTGAGTTCATTAAGGTTCACTTCTTGGACTTCTAACGGTTTGTGATTAAGTCAGCATTTTCCCTGATAAGTTGGTATTCCAGAGATGTAAACCAACGTCTTCTATTTAAATTATTGCAAACCATTAATTCGGATTTCAATTGGTTCATATTTGGGAGTGTTATCGTCTGTCGCAAAATCAACCATGAGGGTTCTTGTTTCAATAATACCTTGTATAAAACATTCCGTAGATTTTCTATCCGTGTGTTAATCACGTGCAAGGTGAAAACAGGTGACAATAGGTGAGCTCTAAATGTTTTCAAATGTTTACCTTTTGCTTATGTACGTTTTAAATTCGCCGAAACGACTACCGTTATTTTTTACATTGAATTAGATAGTTGCTGAATGGGTATGAATATTTATCACTGACATGTCAATACTCCATCTTTATGTGGGAACACTCATTCCACACGGAAAAAGTGACAAATAATGTGATGAAAATTATCATTTATTAGGCATCAGGTTATAACTATATCTTTGTTGGTTGTGGATGAAATTCAAATAAATGAAGACTTCTTTTCAAAAGTAACTTATGCTTCTGTGGCGATACTTTGAACGAAATTGCTGCCTTCAGTCACACTAATGTACCCTTCACTTGTATCTGAGTAAGGATTTTTACTGACTTTATTTATATACGGTTTCTTTCTAGAAGCTGACGTACCAAGTGTTAATTCTTGCCAAGTCAGTCGTTTTCAACTCTGAAAGTTTCGGATCCTAAATTTCACTCCTTTTTAATTACATGTAGTATAGTTATACTGTTTTTCACTTTTATCTCAGGTTTCTGAATAAACGATCAACTTATGTACGTTTAGAAGCTACTGGAATAACAAATCACTCCGCTGAGTCCATACGCAGTCACATTCGACAAGTTTTGCATCTTTTATTCAATAAATCTCACAATTCTGATAACAATCATGACAATTCTGAAAACAAGAACATCAACAACAATAATAACAGTGATGGACACGAGACGTCGAGTTGTAAAAGTGGATTTTCTCGATTTAAAAGAAAACAGTACACCTTAGTAGAAGACGAAGCAATAATGAATTATGTAGTGGAAAGAAATCTTTGGAGGTATGCAGTACATATTTGGCAAAGCTTGATAAATCTTTCTGGAAATATTCCAGTTTTTAAAGAATTTTATTTAGCTTTCATACGTCTGTCACTTTTGGATGTTCGTTCATGATTGTTTATTTTTCTTGCTGAAGTTCGATTTTATTCTCGAATAGGCTTTACTTGAAGTTGAAGGTGATCACTAATGCACACCACTGATCATCTTAATCTAAATGTAAAATTTACCCATAAATGTACACTTCATTACTGGACATCCTCAAAAACCCAATTAACTTGTAGATTATATCTGATAGTGAAGGGGATTATTGCTTGGAGTTTTACTAAATCGGAACCCAGTTTGGTTGAAGCTACAACTCTGGAAAACTATACACCCTTTTTGTGAAAACTTACATAATTATAGATTTCCATATGAGGTGAAAGTGCCCAACAAAAGGCTTTACAATTATTCGATGTGACGTCAGTTCCAGTGTCCAGTAGCCTATTAAGTTAACAATTTAAAGAGTCCACTTTCATCCTTTCTGTACTCACAGATTTTTATCACTTTTATACTGTATCTTCTCGTTTCTTTGGCAATCGCCAGTCGCACGACCAACTTCCCCTCTTTTTCATGCTCAAAACAGATTAGTAAACTAGGGAAGATTTGGAAGCGCAGCCATCTTTTCATTGTCATTCTTGACTTATTTAAAACTACATTTCGTCAGTTCCATTATCTTAACTCATTTTATCGTTATTATTCAGTGGGGAATTTATAAAATTTTCAAGCTCCCTTCTCTGTCAACTTGTTATTTATTCTCTCTCATCCATATTGACTTGACTTGTAAAACATTCGTACCTGTTGTTTTCCATGATCGATTCATTGTAGTTATTTCTTTAATCAGTCACAAATCTTCCAATGTATATTTGTTAGCATAATATATATATATATATATATATATATATATATAATGCTTGGGCATTAAAAGCTTTCACAATATAAGTGTGTCTCACAGCCTTGGAACATTGAAATATGTTCCGAATAACAGATTTCTACTAGGATTTATAGACCTCATCTTAACTACTAAAAATTGTTTATATCCGGTTTACTTAAACTCACTAAAGTATCTTATGACATAGAAGTGTATAGTTTATTTGGGCTGACAACCAAAGCACATTTTGTAGAAGTACTGCACTTTCTTAATTTGTAGTATTAGTTGAATAAACAGCCATTTTTCACTAAAATTCATTGTCATATAACTGCAAATATAGTAAATTATTCCTGGGATGAAAATTACCAATGCCTGACCTGAGATACTTGTATTAACGTACAATTTTTCAAAATAAGTGATCAGGTGATATTAATACCAAAGATTTTGATGGAAAATTGTGAAAATTCAGTCATGAGGATCAACACACCTTCACTCGAAGTTGAAAAGTAGGGATCAATTATTCTCTTTAAACTGCTTTGAAATATAATGTACCGTTTGAATAATAAATATAATTTATCTTTCTAAATCTTTATACAGACAAGTAAGAAGTCGAGCTCTTTGGAGAAAGATGGCCAAAGAAGGTGTGACTAACCACTCCTCCGAATCTATGCGTAATCGATTCCGACATCGTTTAGTAAATGCAACTTATGCTCGGTTAGTGACAAAACTCACTAAGAGTGAACAAGTGAAGCTGAATGAAATTTTTTTTGGTGGTTCTAAACGAGCGGGTAGTAATTTGGAAAATAGCAGTGAGGATATCTGCCATTCATCGTACTCAATTGATGAATGTACTACCATAACATCAGATGAGTCAAATGCAAATATTGCGGATGATGTGAATGACCTTCAGTCATCATGTCATCAATCATACAAGATTCGTGACAAACAGACTTCTCCGACTGAAGAGACTGTCCAGCAGACGGAATCAAGTAATATGTCAACCAACAGCGTTGCAGAAGGTGAGTTTTTATATCATATCAACAGTTGTACTTGATAATTCTTACATTGCTCTTTGAATTTGAATTACCCTAAAAAATTAATTTTCTATGTCGTTAAGAGTCACACTTATCTTAAGGGGTCTGGCGATACTACCGAGTTTTACTGCGCGATAGCATGCAGGCTGCCCAAATCGCACTTAATCAGTTGGCGGCCAGTGTCTGTAAATATGGTATGCGCTTTGCGCAGAGTATTGTTACAAGTTTGGCAGGAGCCTGGACTCACTCTTGCTGGTGAACCGCTTGAAGTTGTTGATAAGTTTGTGTATCTGGGTAGTTGTGTGAGTGCTGCCGGAGGGGTGACGGGTAAGATTTCCAACCGTATCATGAAAACTAGGGTGGTATACGTTAACTTGAGCCACCTCTGGTGCCATCACGACGTCAGCCTGGCTGTCAAAGGTTGTTTTTATAATGCCTCGGTGCGTGCTGTCTTGATCTACGCCTGGGAAACCTAGCTTCTCTGAACTGAGGGTGTACGGCATCTCTGCTTGTTCGATCATCGCTGTCTCCGCAGGATTGCTTGCGTTTGATAGCATCATTACGTGAGTAATTCTGAGGTCCAGTGACTTGTGTTTGGACACAGTAGAGATCACCATTTGTGAAGTGTTGTCATCTGGAAACACCGACATCAGTGGCCTGGAAATGTGCTGTGAATGTCATCCCAGAAGCTTTCGTACAGATCTCTGTTGGCTAGCCCTGGGACTGGATGGAAAAAGCGAAGAGGTGGTCAGCCCATGACGTGGCGTCGTGGGATGAAGGATATTTCTGTTAGGTTAGCATGAGTTGGTGCATAACGACTCCCTGGTTGGAGTCCGAGAAATAGCTCGAATCGATGGCTCGAAACGTTATCGGATATGACTGAGATTCGGGATCGAATGGGAACGTGCTGCAATTCCTTCTTTCTTCCCTTCCCGACGATAATTGACGAATGCTGTTGGAACTTGTTAAATATGACTGTCTTCCTTCCAGATGAAGTTATTTGTCTGTTCTCTACCTATATTTTTCACCTTTAATCTATGTTGTTGTATTATTATTGTGTGGCGCAGCTTCTTTGTGTTATGCTGTACCAAGTTTTTTATTTAAATAAATAAATAAACATTTACTTCTTGATGAACAGCACAGACTTGATAAAACATGAACTACTAGGACTTTCGTATCATGTTGAAATCATCACATAAATTTCCATTGAATATCAAAGTAAAACATGGTTTTTCTTTATTATTATTCAATGTTTTACTATTCTCGCCTCTTAAAAATTTGTATGTAGTTTCATTCACAAAAAAAGATGGTTGTCGCTTATTGTGAAACTGCTTATTGGTATGGAGTTGAAAATAGCAAGAATTTTGTGTCCGATTTCAACAAAATCTTTATTAATGTTAAGACTTTTTGGGATAGCTTTTATGATTAATAGACTACTGCTCATAATTATAATGGATGAATCAGAGGGCTCTGATTGACTTATTTGACGTTCTCGTAGGTCAGCTGATTCGAGTTCTGTCACAACACAGATTTTCATTTCACCTTCAAGTATTAACCATTACATTGAAACCTGTATTCTCTGTTTGAAATACCAAGTGTATAAGTACATAGGCATTTTGAAATATGTGTAAACATTTTACTCTTGTTGTTCCGTTAATATACGCGTATCAGTTTCTTAGTTAGCAGTTGTAAAGTGTTGTGAAAGTGCATATAAGTTCCCAATATTCAAACTAAACGGTTTTGTGTTTGTTATTTCTTTGTGTTACTTTTTTTTATTCTAGTGTCCGGTTCACCATCCCCCTCATTTACTGTTTCTACCTCGAATTCCCTTGGAACTCCTATAAGATACCGTAATCGTCGTGCAGTGCCACGATCGATTGTTATAGGAGATGGAAGTCCTCAGCTGAAGTCAACTGGTTTGATGGCTACATCGAGTAGTTCGTTATCATCTAAGTTGTCAGTATCATCGGTACCGAGTACGTCATATGCTTTATGTCGTAATAATACTCCAGTATCTGTAAGTTCTAAATCTCTTCACATTTTTGGAATTTTTTATGAATGAGCTTTGTATCCTAGATACTGATTCAGGTAATAGAATGTTATGTGGTACTCAAGGTCACTATAAAATCAGCCGTATCAGTAATTATGTAACACACTGTAGTAATAAAATATATTATACAAATCGATATCGCAGAATTATGAAAATAATTCAAATATTCTCACTAAGGTAATTTCAAAACACGGTCTTACCAACCAAATACATATTTTCGATAAATTTTCACCAGGCTTTTAAATTTCGGTTGAAGGCCATGAAAGGGAGAGGGATTCAACAAACGTTTTCTGTACACAAAGATTTGACTGAATTTTTTTTATGGTGACTGCCTCAGTTATGCTTGGTAATCGAAGGCGTACAAACTCATGGAATTCAGGTGTGGCACTTTGTTTAGAATTGTAAAGGAGGAATTTAGATCAATCTTGTGGTATGCATCCATAAGATGTGCCAATGTGGAACTCCTGATTGATTTAGCAGCTCCTTAACTTAACCACACTAGACAATGCTCAAGAAGGCGATGGTGTGCTTTCCGAGTTGTTCTACCTATGTAACTGTCTGCATCAGAAAAGTTAAATTTAAAAATACGCACTGAGGTGGCCAAGCCCGGTAGCTTAACCTTCATACGCAATGGAATTATACGAAAAGCGGGGAATTTTAAACGTAGTGTTGCGAAAAAAGATGTTTCCGCTACTATTTTTTTGAGTTTCGATGCGAAAGATTCAGTGGCTGTTTCTCCTTTAACGCTAAAGTTATATAATATATATATATATACACGAATTAAACGTTATGAGAAGGACCTTGGTATCTATTTTATTCTTATGCAAGATAAAAGTACTATTCATATGTGTATAGTAGAACGGAAAGTTCGTTGGTTACATTTCTCAGTAGACCATTATCTAATTTTGCCACTAACAAGTCGACTAAGAGAGGACCCAAGGGGCAGTCCATTGTGTTATACCCTCCACTTGACGAAAGATTTTGTTGTTAAAGCGAGATTCCACATTCATCGTATAACGGAGTAGCAGTTCATGCAGTGTTTAAGTTGGTATACCTATTTCCTTATCAATTTTTATCAGAGATTCACAGATGAGGTCGATGTTTTCTCATAAAGGAATTTACTGAAATCATCTTCCTAAAATTATGAAAATGTCATAAGTGATTAATGCTTTGTATAATTAATGAATAAAAATTGTGTGGTTATATCAACACACATTAGCCAAAGCCTTGCTGACATTTTCAGTAATCTGTTGATGTTTTAAAAATCAGTATGATGAAAAAGATACATTCTGGCTTTTCTTTATAAACAATGCTTAAAAGTGTTCTTAGTAATCTAGTCTTAGTCTTTCCCAGGTGCGAATATTATACAAGTCAAGTTTGAATAGATAAAAGGTAAAGGGTTTGAGAGGTTAATCTTCAGATTATAATGGATTACAGTTCAGTTATATTGAAAATCCCTCACAGGAATTGAAAACTGAATAATAATGATAATTATAGTGAGTTATGATTATGGTACAGACAAAAGATAGTTGTAATAGTAATAATAATAACAGCTTTATTTCAAACAGTATTTATGGTACATGTATGGAATTTTCAGCGTGCATTACAATATATTGCATCTAATTACCTCATAAATTTTATAAGATTTTAAAATCAAAAAGCAACACCCAAAAAAGGAGATAAATAAAAAAAAAGAACAGCGTTGCGTTTACACTTTGAACAATGCACCACAGGATATGAAATATAAAATTGGTGTTTAATAGATGAGGAGAACAGTGTAATAGTAACGAGGAAAGGAAGACAAAAGCTAATGGGACTATTTGTTATAGTGCCGCAGTAAATTTATCGTGTCATACCTAACGGATTTCTCATCACATAACACCTGTGCCAGATATGGTATTGTGGAGTTTTTGTACTTGGTAGTCCTAGCATATAGCCTCCTATAGATGCTTCTAGTTCTACCAGATGAAATGCAAGGAGAGAGACAGCTGCGTGTAGAGAGGATGCTCGAGGTCTGACAATATTGTATTCGCTAGTTTCTTACATGACATAATATGTCTATCCACAATAGTGTTAACCAGTTGGTTTAACGATATCCCACTTGTCCTATTAACGGCTTTTAGTGCCCTTCTCAGCAAAGCAAAGTCTCTCTTAAGTAGTCCAGGAAAGATTAATGGGGAGCAGTAAAGGGGGATGGGTAGAATACAAGAATTTGCAAACTGAGAAAGCAAAGACTGCTTTATGCCAGACTGCCTAGATTTCCTAACGTAGAACGTTAAGCGAAACATCTTCCCAGTAACTAGCAAGATGTGGGAGGACCAGGAAAGACCAGTGGAAAAACTCAGCCTAAGGTACTTGATATTAGATGTATTTTCAACCTCTGTGCCGTCAATGATAGTGGGGCCATGTGAGCTAACTAGTTGTTGTAGGTCACGTTTACGTCTGAAAGTGAAATTGACTACCTGACATTTAGACGGATTCAGCTTAAGACCGTTTGAAGAGGACCACTGACTAATTTCTGAGAGAAAGTTATTTAATTTGGAACAATCTGACTGAGAGTTGACAGACATAGAAACAAAGAGGTCATCAGTATACTTAACAAAAGTGGTTACATGAGAATGAGGAAAGTCATGTAAGAAAAAAGAAAACAGAAAAGGAGAAAGAACAGCACCTTGAGGAACACCAGCTAAAGTAAATGAGGTAGTGGAGGACTTTGCATTGTAGACGGTGTACTGCTTCCTATCAGAAAAATAGGAATGCAACCACTTATTTGTCCAGCTCTCAGCCTCTGTTGCATCAAGCTTACTTAGCAAGAGAGACCTGGGACCAGATTTAAATGCAGATGTGTAATCAAGGAAGACACAGAGAACGTATTTAGCTCCTTTATCTAAACTAGAGACTATGCTATGGTGGAGGACGACAGCGGCATCTAACGTACACCTACTATGTTCATAAGCAAACTGGTTGGGGTCGTTGAAAGGCTTTAAAGAGGGATCAAGATTAAGTAAAGTAAGTAGATGAATCAATACTAATATTAAGACGTGGGATGAGATATTAATAGTAAGGCTAACAGACAAGACCGTCGAAGGGAATGTGGATATGTTGGTATGGAGGAGATGGTGTAAGGAGGAGGCAAGAGCTTATGGGCAATCGTGGAATTGGCCAAAGAAGACATCAGAAAACTGGATGAGATGGAGATGTTCTGTGAAAGTCCTGTGTCCCACTGGAAACCTAGGGTAATAATAAGACATTAATAATCATCAATAAGTAAAAGATATTGCCGTAGTCGATTCGAAGTGATCGTCATTTCCATTTGAACACAGACCGAATGTATAAACTCTGAATGCACAAGTTTCGTCAGTTGCAAGCATCCTTCTACTTAAATTTGATGAATTCATTAAATTCTGTTTATAGTATTCAACTTGGAAGTCTTAGAAATGATTTACGCACAGTCTATACAGCTACATATTTCCAGTATTGGTGTTTGGGTCAATTATGGTGTTGAGCGGAATACTTACAGTAGGAAGTTGATAAGTACTTTCTGCGTATCTAACGTACCTAAGTATATCTGTATTACTGAGTTTTTCTGTATCACACTTTAGAAAAGAGGCAAAAAAGCCACTAAAAAATTTCGCCTCTATCTTTCTGATTATTTTCGTTTATCTACAACAGCGGGAAAATATAGATGCGTCTTACTGAAGTATATTAACATTTAAGAACTGTTTCACTACGCATATTTGGTATCCACAGCCTTCTTTGTTAAGGGTGTATGACCTATGGTCGAAATAATCTGTGATGCCCTACTTGTTGTGTTTCTATTCCTTCGTTGATTGTTAAAGGTGAAGTTTGAAGATAAAGTGATCCCTAATCATTCTTCCTCTTCATTTTTCTGGTTGTGAACAGTTACTCTAAAACATATGTGGTGTTATGTATTACTGATAGAGTGATATAAGTAGTTGGATACTGTTTGCCTCAACAAATAGTGCTTGTTAATCAGATCAGATTGATCCAAAGTCAAGCTCATCAGTAGTGTAGCCGGTTTTGACTTAGCCAGCATGGCTTGTTCACTTGATTGACTGCCATCTGTAGTGTCGATCAGATCACTTACTGTGGTCTGATTTTCAAGTAAGACTGATGTCTTCCTCTCGAAATGTGTGTATTTTGCAAATTGTGAGATTGATTTTAAGAGAATTCATGTTCACTGCATTGCTATTTTCCCATTTGACCATTTGTTGTTTCTTATCTGTTTTGTATGTAGTAATTGAATATTGCCATTTTTTTATTCTCTTATAATTATTTAGCTTGATTCATCGATTCTTACATCAGATTCATCTGTAGCGTTGCGTCCACCAAATAATCCAGAATGGATTTCACAGTTAATAAATTGTTCCCCCTACATAACAACACCGCTACAACCTATGCTACTTGTTACCATGACTAATGGGTCTGTTATTGAAGCGTACAATTTCTTGACAACTGGAAAGCGTCGTCAACCATCATCGTCTGAAGAATTTAGTCCACCTCTTTGGTTACTTGATGATGACAGATCTTTGAGTTCAGAAGACACAGAAGTAGTTGATGAACTTGTTAATCGTTTTGGCTGGACGGAAGTAATTGAGCGTTGTAATTTTCTAAAAGGTCCAGATTAGCTCACGCTTTTACAGTTGTGCTCATCATTTCTTGTTTTGTAATCATCGGCCACGTGAATTCCATTCCATCTCTTTACGTAACACTTTGACTTAAAATAATTATTGTACAGAATGTATTATTTAAACTGTAAATCTTGTTAATATTCGTTTTCTTGATATTTTTAGTCTCAATTTGTTTTAACCTGTTTTCCAAAAGTTTACTTCTTATTATACTCCTGGGTATGCTTGTGTGTGTATATTGATTTATTCGCCTGTCTGATTTTTGCACCTGTGAAGTACTACTCATTTGTGTTTAAATCTGTAAGTGTGCATAATAAATACAATACATACTAGCGGTATTATGCTTTTTAACAATAGATTTTCGTTATATCTGTGCCTTTGCTGGTTGTCTGCATTGCTTGTCTTATTTTGGTCATCGTCGTATCTTTGCCTGCATTTGATTTCCATTGACCGATTAGAATTTGTGTTGCCTGTTTGGTGAGGTCCAGAATAGTTTCCCATTCTACACACCCGTAGTCCCCGTCTAGTTTACCATCTGGTGAAGTGAAGAGCTATCAACCCCACACTCTAAATTTGTAAAAGTTTGAAGGTGATGTGATGGCAGTGGTTTATCCATGGTAGTGTTTTCGTTTGTTCTGACAACTATGGCGAGTTTATTTGCTATGCGTGATTAACTGTGACCTTACAATGATTGAAGGATGTGAAATGGCAACTCTTACATCACAGTGAACCGACTGCTTTTTCTTTTCCAAGCATTTTCTTCTTGCACACATAACCGACAGTTTCCAAAGTTGGAACTGTTTCACATACTCTGTGTAATCAGTCAGTGGGGAAGTATTTCAATCCCTGATATTTGGCGTCTTTCACGTTTATCTTCTTCTTCTTCTTCTTCACAAAGAATAACCCTCCTCCGGGAAACTATGCTGAGAAGCCTAGCTTGTGGATGACACATGTTTCAATAGAGTTGTGGTTTGTAATTGTTTGCAGAGATTCATGTGGCAGTTCCCGTAGTTCCTATAGGTTAAATGGGTAATCATGATTTCAGTTTCTACAGATTGTACTGTGTCTATTAAAATGATGCATGGCAACTGTTAGATACATTAGCTATGGCTATGTTTATGATTTACTTAAGTGTAGGTGTATGTCTTACTCTTATTTTAGCGAAAGTTTATTGTTACCTTTTGCTTAATTATTCCGCTTTTACATTTCCTTGTTGATTTGTAGATATTTCATGGATAAAGAGCCACTCACGCCTGTTCCATCAGAGCAACTTCTTGGACCTGGATATGGTCAAGGTGTATGGCCTTTGCGTGAGCGGTTGGCATTAGCTACAGCTCTTTTAGACGTAGATAATCAGCAGGGAACCTGGTCCTCTACCAGTCGTCGTCTGATGCCATTTTCTAAACCAGGTCGGCCACCTACATGGTGTTCGCCTAGAGCATGTGCGAAACAGTACGCCTTACTTCTAGATTCAATTGAATTGGTCAAGCGACAAAATATGCCGGGGAGTGACTCACAGTCAAGTCAGCTGAGTTTAGCTGAGCGTGTTGTGAAGCGTCTAAGTGCTGAACGAGCAGAAGAATTAAGGTCGCGAATACAACGTGAACAGAAGTACTACAGGTAAATAAATTTGTTTTCCAGCCACCCATTGTATGTTCGATACAGTCTCGTGATTACCAGTAGTTGATTTATACTTGTCATTTTTGTTGTAGGTGATTCTTCCCCTCATATTATGTATATCACATAGTCGACTTGTGACCCAGTTAGTAATGCATGTGTTTGATTTCGAACTATTGAATTACGAGTTTATACCTCGATGGTCATGTATCCTGCAGAGAAGGTGGTATTGTAACGTGGGACATAGTTCACAGGGTTCACATAGTGATATTCGATTGTGATATAAATTAATGCAAAATTTGATTGCCTGTCAAATCATTCCCCAATACTCGTAGACTTTATTACTTGTATTATGAAGTGAGCTTGTGTATCTGAGAAGCTAAAATAACAAATTGTTATTTATCACCGTAAATATGAAAACCCGTATTTTTCCTCCTAGTTCATTGAAAAGTATTATTTCGAACGTGGAATCTGGCATGTACGACAGTCAGTTACCCACTTTGTTGGAGCAAATCAAGTCTTTCACCGAATCAAAAAACAAACCGGAAAATGTTACACCCAACAAGAGTACTTCTCAAATCTATAGTCCTTCGAAAACTGCGACTTCTGTTGGAGATACAACTACCAATGAATTAGAACGCCAACCAGGGATAAAATGCTCAGATAATGTAGATTCGGGAATCGTATCCACTGAAAGCAGTCCACAAAGTGCCGAAAACCTCCTCGGATTAGTGAGAGAAATACAAGATTTTTATCGGATTCCTGATTCAACATGGTACTGTGCTCCTGGTCCGATAAACAGTTGTAAGGCCTTTGGAAGTGTGACAAGTAGATCTCGTCCATCCACTGCAGTCGGTTCTGTTAATTCCTCCCGTTTACTAGATAAAGCATCATCACCACGTCGAGAACCTGGAGTGCCTTCCAGACATTCGGCTAAAAAAGCTATGGATTTTAAGTCTGGTAAACACGATTCGGGTCATACTACAGCTGCTTCACGTGCTGCTGAAGCAACAAAACAAAGGTATTTGTCAAGAGCGAACAAGAGCAAATTTGCGCATAATTTCGAAAAATCGAATCAAAATAACAAATGCCGTAAGCAAGCTAATGAACACAAAAATTTATCTGACGACGCCTCACATAAAAATCAATATCGAAATTCTACAGCTTCTACTTCTGCATCAAAAGCAAACCGTGTATATGGAGGTTAGTTCATCATCTTGACCCTTCTCATAAAACTATTTATTATTATTATTACCATTATTCCGAGTGGAACATTGGGCCTAAGCACCACATCACCATTTTACTGTGTTTTCTACGGTGTCTTCTAGCTAGCTCCATGAATGCCTATGACTTTTCATTTTCTGTTCCTACAATCTCCATGTCACTCTAGAATACTCGACCGTGTTACATTCAAATTCCACTCGAAAGATGGCCTAGCACGCGATGTTACTCAGCGGTTTCGTCAGCGCATATCCAGTACATCTCCATTTTCTTCTGAATATTTTAGGCGATAGATTCTTGATTGGCTCGTTGGCAGAGTTCTTCGATTGTGATTTGATGCTTTTTGTTGTTGGTTATGTGTCTTCATCACCTCTGTTTTCTCTATGTTCGCTGAAGTCTTGTCTTCACTACCTCTTCTGCCTACATTTTCACTTTTGCTTAGAGATCTTCGAGTTTGTATGACATTAGACATAAATCACACGCGAAGTTTAGGTTTCTCTATACCTCTTTGTCAGTCCCACGTATTTCGGTCCACTCAGTCACCGTAGGCTGCAGCAAGACCCTATTCACTTCAATCAAGGAATATCATCGGTCCTGGTAGGCAGTCTTGTCGTACTCCTGTCTACATTTCAAAGGCTGGACCATTCGTGTTGATGTTTCGCTTTTATGAGAAAATTTTCTGTGACTATTAAATTTTTTCTTCCAGTTCAAATTTTGCTATATAGAGATGTCTGGGTGGGCGTCTTCCAGTTTCTAATCATCTTCATAGAACACATAGCGTACATTTGAGATTATTTTACTCCCACAGCATTTCTTTTCTCTACTCTTATTTGTCATTTCTGAGAGTTTGACACTTTGGATTTATGCACTTGTCTGGAAAGTTCTACATTAATAAGTCCGTTTAGTTTCTATTTGTTTCAAGCATAATCATCACCTGCCATAAACACAGACCATCGTCGAATAAATAGCTTGTTGTCAGTCTTCCACTATTCTCTGTGGGCGTAACGGTTTGTGTTAGGCACAGAGTATTTCCTTTTTGCCGTTTCTTGCTTACGGACTAGAGAATATGGCTTCTAACCTCCCCTTTACTTGGGTCTTACTATCGGCTAATAAACTAGGCAAGGTTTGTAAGTCTGTTGTGTATAGAGTATTACATATACCAAAATAAAATTGTCTTACATTAGACATGGTATAACTTCTTCCATAGTACATTTTATTGCAATCAACATTGGTTACTTATCTGTCAGAAGTGAAAGAAATTAATTAATCGGGATAAAAGAAACAGATTAGCCTTCGATGGATTGTTCATCTGGGTTAAATCAACCAGAATTACCGAATACAAATATCTATGTAAAGGACGGGGTTGGATTCTGTACTAATATACCATCGTGAGAAATAACTTAGTGAAATGAATTCCATATTGGCTAAGTTTATTTGATATAACGTCGGAGAAGTTGTATGGATGGTCGACATTCAGTGCTTGCCACTTGGTTCGTAGAGTGTTTGCATATTTTCATGAGGAAGACGGTGAACAGCATCCGTATTGCAACTGATAAAGATGTACTGCTTTGTCGTACACACACGGTAGACTATTTTCAAAAATGTGAAGTGCAGCAGTGTCAAAATAGGTCGTCGAAACGCCTTCGTTCCGCCATGGAGTCCCCAGTCAATTCCTCGAATCCTACCTTACTTTGTGTCAGGTAGCTGGTTCCTTTGGATGAGTGTTTTATACCATTTCAATATTTTGGTTTCTTCTCGTGTCTTTTACTACCAGAAATTGGGTTTGGAATAACTCGTTATTATTTATTGATAAGTCCCCACTTTTCCACTTATTTTGTCACCCTTATGATATATACGGATAAAGGAACTACTATACTGCTTTCAGATTCTCATTCTGAATATATAACGTTGGTGCTTATTTGAGAAGTTTCACACATCGACTGTTTGATCGTCTTAGAGAACACACATTGTGTTTAGTTATGAGTGGCATCGATTCACTGTCTGTACACAAACATGTTAACATTGTATTACATATTGTAGGTAGTTATCAGTCTCCGAAGCATTTCATTTACTTTCCTATTTCATATTTTAGGTATCACTCGAAAGTCGAAGCTATCGGGTTCCATGATACCTCATCAGAAGCAAAACAGTAATATGATTAGAAATACTGTGTCCGAGAAACAAGAAATTACTTATACTTCTAGTGATGATGATGATGATGACGGCGAATATAAATCGGATGATGAGAGTTCCCTGTATGAAGAGACATCAACTGACATGCAGACAGACACGTCTTCGTCAACACCATCCACAATCGCTATGTATGCGTCTGATGTTGAAGATTTTCTGATTGAAGAAGATGATAAATCAGACAATACTGTTCCAATTGACGATACTGCTACCTACTGTGCTTTAGATAACGATCAACAAGTCACAGAAACGATTGATGAGAATGAGGCGTATCTTTTGAATTCTGAAGAAGATAATTGCATTGCATCAGATGTTGCCTCGTCTCTGTCTACTGAAGCTGTAGCTGAAGTTGAGTGTGAGGCTTCAGATAAGCTTTCCTCAGTTTCCCCTAGTCCGACGATTGTCAACACCACTGACGTCATCGACACTGTGATTGAAGAGGACATAGAAATCAATGAAACAAGTCAAAAATCAATTGTGGAAACGGCTATTGAAAGTTTGGTTCAAGATTCACCTGTCGCTAGTAACCATCCTCAAACTGAAAACAGAAAAGATTTAGAAGGTGAAGAACTTTCAGCGACAGATGTGAACTCTCCAAAAGTAGCTGCTGAAACTGAAATCTTTGAAAATACTGTGATTAACACTGAGTCTAGTGATACACCAACGAACTTCGTGCCTACTGGCGTGGAGCATGAGTCGAGCGAATGGTAAGTTAGGGTAAAAATATGATTTATCATAATCTCGCAATTATTATGTAACTCGGTACTAATATTTCTATTTTACCATAAAAAAATATTACCGTATAATTTTCCAAGTATTACTCATTACACTTTAAATGATTTATAATGATTCAGGCGGACTCGGCGCTCAAATTATTCCAGAGAATTTGCCACATCTACGGTCTCGAAACTTATAATTACTTATTATATACAGCCGTTTCAGGTGAAACTTGGACAGAACTACTTTACTAGGATTCCTTCTTCTATTAGTTTTAACAGGCATGCGATTTCTCGAGTATATGCAAATTAATCAATCATTCCTCCTACATGTATTACTTTCTTGATTCTATGAAAACAATTTCTCATAGATCAGTCTTCTTCTCCTACTTTGTTTGTATTAGTTAGTAAAAGTAATGGACATCACTGTTTTGTATAGGGACGAGCAGATTGCCTTGGGATGTTATATAAGACAGTGGTTGGAGACTTTTGCAGATATGTCTCAAAATCATTCTCAGTGACGCGAATGTATTCACTCTTTGTAATCTCCCAATCCCATTAAATCCTCATGTATCTCAATGGAAATTTTTTTTAATCGTCCGATCCAAATACGAAAGTTAGAGTGATCAGGTAGTATCGCTACCTCTGACTCGACAGATATGCCACATTACTAACTACACTGAATTTCAAGTGCTGGTCGTTCAGCCGGCTTTTAATTTCATTCATTCTTTCTCCCGTTCATTTCTGCTATTCATAGATCTTTTGAATTTATGTCTTCTTTCTCTTCTCAGACTGTGTGTGCTACCCGACCGAAAGCTGCTACCTTGACGTGGTGGTCGGGCTTGAACACCGCAATGACCTAATCAAGCTATACTGGCTGAGACTTATGTCTCTTGAGGTTCTACCATGCCAGGCAGGTTGTTTGGATAGCGGTTAAACAAAAAGCAGCTACCCAATCCAACATCATGTCCAATACAAAATTACAAAATTTCATGCCGGATCGGCCGTGGCCCGGATTAACAACGACCGCGCTTCCTGCTGCCGTGTCACAGGGCGGGAGTGATAAATCTGCTACTGAGACACACCAAACAAAAAGAACAAACAAAAACAGGCCGCGTGTGACCGGCCTCAAGCAGTTGTCCCCTGGGCTCTGCGGTCACGCAACCAACTTCCACGGTGTGGGCAGCCGGGAAGTAACAATCGCCCTCACAATCCGAAATGCACACGAAACCTCTCTATTACTCACTCATCTTTGTCTTCATCTTCATCTCTATCATCTTGCCTTCCTTCCACTGATGCAACTCCTCGACTTGATAGCTCTCCACTTCCTCTCCACTCTGCGTCCACTAAAAACGATGGAAGCCAAAAAACCACCACCGACAGCCTCTTAAAGCCGCGCCACCAATTTCATATAGGAGCTCTTAATGTTAGGACACTTTGCCAAATAGGACAACAAGCATCACTAGCCAAGACCCTGGCATCACGAGCCATTGATGTATGCTGTGTTTCAGAAACACGCATACAAGACCCAAGTGTGGTTATTCACCTAACCCCACCTGGCCAACAGGTTGAATCTGCAAAATTCACCTTGAGGGTGTCAGGAGATGCCACAGCTAGTTCACGAGGATTAGCTGGCGTAGGGATAGCTTTGAGTACTAGGGCAGAAAAGACATTGCTTGACTGGATCCCGGTAGATAGCCGAATGTGTGCTGTCCGCCTGAACGGATCAGTAAGAAGGAGGAAGGACTGCACTACTCGCCGATGCCTTTTCGTAATCTCCGCCTACGCCCCCACTGACTGCAGTTCAGATGAAACGAAGGATGAGTTCTACCAAAAGCTGTCTAGTTTGGTGGAAAGGCTAAACGCTCAGACATAGTCGTTCTAGCTGGTGACTTTAACGCTCAAGTAGGGAAATTGTGTCAATCTGAGAAGGATGTCGGTGGCACCTATGGAGTTCCGTGCCAGCGAACCGACAACGGTGACCGTCTCCTACAGTTCTGCTCTGATAATCATTTGTTTCTTGTAAGCACTAACTTTAAACACAAGGAGAGACACTGTTTGACTTGGAGACCCCCTTCATCAAACCAACGCTGGACACAAATAGACCACATAGCAATAAGCTATCGTTGGCGTGGGTCGGTAGGAGATTGTCGCTCCTTCTGGAACACGTGCGTAGATACCGACCATGCACTGGTCCGCGCTCGGGTGTGCTTACGACTGAACGGACGTAGGAAACAGCTGGCGGTAAAACCATCACGTCCCCAGCTCGATCAGGAAACTAAATCCGTATTTCAGGAAGAACTAGCTAAACACATATCTGTGTTCGACAGCTGTGCTCACCCTGAAGAAGCTTGGAAAAATATCCAGGCAGCCATAGATACAGCTGTAAAAGCTGTGAATAAGGTAAACCCAAAGGTGAGTAAAAACCACTGGATCTCCACCGCCTCATCCGAACTGATAGATGCTAGAAGACTTATTCCGGCGAGCTCCGAATTCAATGAGGAGCGAAAGCTGCACAAGAGGAAACTTACGAAAAGTCTCCGCAAGGACCGTGAACAGTGGTGGGCGACAAAAGCCAAAGAGATGGAGAAAGCTTTGAGGATAGGCAACACCAGGCAACTCTTTGGACTCATCAGGGAAACGGGTGGGAGAAGACAAATCATTAGTGAGACAATCTCGGAAAAAAATGGCACTATAATTAGCTCCAGGATAGACGACTGGATCGTTGGAAAGAGCATTATGAGGAGCAGTTTAATTTGCCCACAGCCACGCTCAACCTTCCGAGCATCCAACACCTCCCTGAATGGGATATAGACACAGGTCCTCCGTCACTAACTGAGGTTACTAAAGCTGTCACCAATCTGAAACTAGGCAAAGCAGCGGGACCTGATGGAATGACTCCAGAGGTATTTAAGTACGGTGGAGACAGCTTACTGTCCGGATTAACTGAGGTACTAGGCAGCGTCTGGGAATCAGAAGAAGTCCCATCGGGTTGGTGTAAGTCACTGATTATCCCCATATACAAGAAGGGAGACAAGTCTTCCTGTGATAATCACAGAGGGATTAGCTTGACTAATATAGTATCTAAAGTCTTAGGCTCAATAATCATGCGTAGACTGAGTGGTGCTCGGGAAGCACAAACACGAGAGAGCCAGGCAGGCTTTAGACCAGGAAGAGGGTGTATTGATCATATCTTCACCCTCCGACAGATTCTAGAACATAGGCATTCCTACCGGCGTCCAACAGTCATTATATTTCTTGACCTAAAGGCAGCATTCGACTCTGTCGATCGGGAAGTTCTCTGGAGATGCTTGGCTGTAAAGGGAATTCCAAGAAAATATATTGCACTGATTAAGGCACTCTACTCGTACTCATACAGCCAGGTGAGGGCTTACGGCGAGCTGTCATCTGAACTGATGACGACCAGTGGTGTCCGTCAAGGATGCCCATTATCTCCTTTTCTATTCAACTTCATCATAGATGTGTTAATGGACTTAACCCTAGGTGACTTCAGCGACTCAGGGATTGACTTGCTACCGGGGAATAATCTCGTTGACTTGGAATATGCAGACGATATAGTCCTTCTAGGCGAAGACGCTGACGAAATGCAGAGTCTTCTAAACACCTTGAGCCGCAATCTACGAATGTTTGGCATGCGATTCGCTCCCGCCAAATGCAAGATGATGTTACAGGACTGGACTACATCGACGCCTAGTTTAAAAATAGGAAGTGAAGTGGTAGAGCACGTTGACCGCTTCACTTATTTGGGAAGTACCATCAGCCCCAACGGGCTGATCTCTGACGAAATCTCAGCACGAATACAAGGGGCTCGTTTCGCATTTGTTAGTTTACGCCGACTCTGGCGTAGACGAGATGTTCGACTATCGACCAAAGGGCGGGTGTACTGCTCATCAGTCCGCTCCGTCCTCCTTTATGGTTGTGAGACCTGGCCACTGAGAGTGGAAGACATGAAAAGACTAGCTGTCTTTGATCATAGGTGCCTGCGTTCTATTTCCCGTGTAAAGTGGCATAATAAGGTGAGCAACATGGAGGTTAGGCGTAGAGTTCTAGGTAAACAGGGGAAATCAATCGACGAAGTCGTGAAGCTACAAAGACTGAGATGGTTAGGACATGTGTTACGTATGCCAAGCCATCGCCTCCCTCGACGAGCAATGTTAGCGGATATAGGGTCAGGCTGGAAAAAAGCTAGCGGCGGTCAAACAAAAACTTGGCATCAGTCAATGAAATCCACAACAGTTGGTCTAAGCCACGTAGGAAGGTGTAGACTTCCAGGCTGGGGTCCTCGGGACGGTAAAAATCTATGGTTGGAAACAATTGGTGACATGGCTCAAAATCGTTCTCAGTGGCGCAGATGCATCCACTCCCTGTGACTTATGATCTTCAATGAAACTGTTTTGTATTTCTTTATTACTCCTTTGTCTCACACCTCTGCTCACTGTTTCTATTATGCTTTTCTTGTACTTTCTTCTCTTGCTTCGCGTGCTACACGGAATGTGGCGACTTGAACTTCCGCACATTTGTGCAAAGTTCTATGTCGAAAACAGACAAACAGACAGTGTGTGCTATATGAAGTATGGCGACGTGAACTGCCACATTACTTCTGTGCGGAGCTCTGTGTTGAAACTCTGTCATTCGGCATAGACAAACATAAAACATATGAACTGTCTGTCTGTCTGTTTTCGACATAGAACTTTGCACAAATGTGCGGAAGTTCAAGTCGCCACATTCCGTGTAGCACGCGAAGCAAGAGAAGAAAGTACAAGAAAAGCATAATAGAAACAGTGAGCAGAGGTGTGAGACAAAGGAGTAATAAAGAAATACAAAACAGTTTCATTGAAGATCATAAGTCACAGGGAGTGGATGCATCTGCGCCACTGAGAACGATTTTGAGCCATGTCACCAATTGTTTCCAACCATAGATTTTTACCGTCCCGAGGACCCCAGCCTGGAAGTCTACACCTTCCTACGTG